CCGCCTCTTTGTATTCAACGCATATGTTGCAACCAAACTCGCGTCCAGCCACTGTGATATTACTTGTGGCATAGTCTCGACGGAGGCTAGGGTTTTGTTGGCTCATTGGTGACCCGCATGCTGAGTCCAAGTTCGAGGGAGAGTCCTCAAAACAAGACGGGCCACAATAGGGTGGATGGTTTAGTAGTGACGAGGACGTACAGTCGTCGCATCGATGCGGCCGTAGCAACACGCGATCAGAAGATAGACTCATGGCATGGGGCCACATAGATGTAGGAGCGACGGGCATCCTTTTGTGATCGAATATGTTTATTCGTTACAGCGCAGTTTATGCTATGTCCATGGAAAAGTTAAGAAAGGATGGCAAGCAGATAGCTCAGCAGGCCATGATTATTGATGCCCTTTTTGTAGGGACAGAGAAAATTGGCAGGCCGTGAAATCTTGAGGAATCCCTATGCATGTAGATGGACTCGACTAGATAGTGAAGGGTGCATCAAGGAGAACAAAGGTACCAGATCCAGTGAGAAAATGGAATAGGGTTTTGGTCACAGTGGAGAAATTTGTGAAATGTACAGTTGACTAATGTGAATTCACGACCAGGGGACCTTGCACCGGATGCTGGCCTGAACTATCCGAGAGGCCCCGCTCCCACCTTCCCTGCCTTTTCACAAAATCCCAGTCCATTATTCATACCATCAAGCATAGCCTCTCTATTTTCGGAAAAGGAGTATGACATTCTAACTAGATCCATATCTCTCCACTCGGTTGATTAAACTAAGAAGAAAAGTTCATTTTGGTCAACTCAATGGATACCTCTTCTCGACCCTTGGTAGCTTTCATCTGAAAATCAATCAGCAGCCAAGGCTCTGACCCGGAGGTAGCTCCTTATGTCACTGCCGCAAAGTGGTTGTCTAATCGATGACTTGTTCCAGAAATAGTACCATTTTTCATTCAGCCTAATCATTAACATTCTCACGAGCTCTAGACAAAAGCATCCTTGGACCTACGTACTAGTTTTCATGCAATTGCATGGGATACTTACTGATGGGAAGCCTTCTGCGCGCTTTTGGAAGATTCTGATTGATATTAAACTCCTGCATGACAAAACGTACCTATTACATTTAGACTCTTTGTCTATTTCCAGGTATGAGACGAGCTGCGGGTCTCCATAATTCCCTACCGTCCAAAGAACTGTACCCAATATTCACAATATAGTCATCGATCTGCTCTACGTAGATATGTTCAGGCGTAAGATAGTATAGGGAAAGTGGATTAATAACTAATATTGAAGTAAGCTTTCTCCGTACAATGGATATGCTATAGCATACAATGGGTCGAAGGCTTAGGTCAAGAAACGCGTTAAGATGTGTTTCGCAACATAGTTGAGAGTTTACTTGTACTTGCTATCAAGACAAATCTACCTCCTGGCCCAACCCCCTTCCCTCCCTTGATGTTTCATCAGCGGCTCCCCTGGATTGAATGATGACGTTCAAGTCGCTCTGTAGTACTTAAGTTGCGCACACTGCGGGCTTAATTGACTCGGTCCTTCTTACGTCTTGATTTTTTTCACAGCAACAACTCTTTTCCTTACTGCTGCGGTATAAGGGCTTGCATTCAGAACCTCGTCTTGACTACGCCAATAGGCAAAGTTTCACTAGGGTTGAACCACTGGCATATTCCTTTACCCCAGAATAGACCAATCAAGTTTTCTATGTCTACGATATTCCGATTTGGAAGGGGTGAGAGCAGCTATAGATAGTAAGTATAAGGCTGATCCGGCATCCCTTGGGCTCTACCAGCGTGAAGGTCTTAATCATTTATCTTAATCAAAATGCCTGAAGACTTCGTTTTCTTTAAGCAGCTCCCGCCTGAGCTGAGGATCAGGATCTGGAGATATGCTCTGCCGCCGGCAAGCCCCGGAGTTCACTTCTTTCGTCTCTTAAATGCCGGCAAAGCTCGAGTGAATCGCTATGGCATTCTGTTGAGTAACTGGCCAAAGGATCACTACCTCATGCCCCCAACATGGCCTGTCAGTCCTTTCCCAAACACCTCTAGCGATTCGAGGAAAGAGATGGAGTCGCATTTAGGTGGTAACCCTTCTTCGTACGTAACCGGTCTGAATCTGCGGAAGACATGCAGAGAGTCCCGTTACGCCGCTTGTCTAGAGGAGAGGCAGAGGCGAAGTGGCGCTTGTGGGCTGTTAAGTCAAGGCTCAACTTGGATTGCCACGGGACGCAAAACATCGTATTCATTGACTTCCGGAGAAATTGATTTAAGGGAACATTCACACATTTTGTGCGCTCCAGATGACCTCGTTATCTTTCAGCTTCATCCTCTCGAATCGGCGTCCTTTACTCCATGCAACAATAGACCAGAGGCAGGCTTGGGGAAGTGGGGCCTCGGGATGCGGCATATTGGCTGGGAGTATCACGCCGACTGGTTCTCCAACAGGAGGATATGCCCATCCACCGACATTCTGAACTTCCTGTGTTCATGCGCCTTGCAAGGCGCAAGGGCTGGCAATCTAGAGACAATATGGATAGTGAACTACAACATCAAACGAAAACAGTGGGTGCCTTCAACAAAAACAACAAACGCCCAGGCCGATATGCATGTTTTCAAGATGGATAAGTATCGACTTGTAGAAGTCGACTACAAAGATTGGCGCCGCTTGCCACGAGAAGAGGCTACATGGGAAGAAGTTTCGGAAAACCCAGAAGAAGACGCAACCAACACTTTCTTACCGTTCGTTAACTTTCTTCAAGGCTTGATCTCACTTCTGATTGGGCATCGCCAAGCTCTTCGACCGCATCCCGTTCGTGTTGGAATCTTGGCATGTGAGATGTATTAAGATAGGGGGGCTTCAGCGAGCTTTTCTGTTCTCTTCTTCTTTTGATTTCTATCATGCTGTTTTAAGTCCAGGTATTGCTTCATGGATCATGGAAGGATGGAGAGACGCGTTCCATCTAATCAATTAATCTACGTCGGTAGGAGGCTCTAGATCGTCGCCAACCCGCTTGACCCGTGGTTACAAAGACCTTCTGCACCTTGGTTATAGTATTAGACACGCCATAACCTGGTTCCGAACCATGTCCTTGCCATAGGTACCTGACACCATCAAATCAATCCTAGCTTTAGTGTTAAGATATCTCGCAGGGATAAAAGGATACCCCACTTTCGGTCATAGCGAGTTCACAGTGAGTGCACAGCCGAGTTCACGCCGAGTTCACAGCGACTTCACAGCGACATCACAGTGAGTTCACTGCCGAGTTCACTTGGCTAGAGAGGTCCCAAGCGGCGGAGAATTCTTTGATTGGGTCACCTAGCCCTGCATTGTTTTGTTGCCTAATCCCCAACCTTCTCGCATTCCATACTCGTCATGTGACCTACGCGATGCATGGTGCCGTATTGCATTGCGAGATAAAAATGGAAAACGTAGGGTAAAAAAAGGAAAGT